TATTGAAGCATCAGGGTGAAATTGGTATTTCATTTATAGTTGATGCTGCAGCTTTTTTTTATATGTATTTTGAAAATCAAGACACGTCGCATGTGGCGACATAATTTTTACTGGAGTGCATCAGTGCATGTGTATAATATAATAACTATATATACCATGCTGTTAGCCGTCACTTATATAGACGGCCGATATAAAGATATGCAGAAAACTAGCTCGCTTTTTGATATTTACGTATAGAATGATAAAAATAAAATATGTTGCCAATACCTCAGCCTTATACTAACCTGACATTAGATACGTAAGTCTATAAAAATCGCCTCAGCTTGCCGACTGTCCCCAGCGCATCAGTGGCTTTGTTAAACCAGCTACCTCGATTACATTTAGTAAGGGTTCTCATAAAATTAAAGTTGGAAATGGTGCCATTTGAACCATATATATGTGCTTTAATTGTTAAATTTATAACGTGGTCGTTATCTTTTGTCTGGATCGTTGAATGCATACAAGACTTCCTGCGTGACTTTATAGAAATATATACTGATGATGAAAAATCATGATGACTCTATATAAAAAAGACTATCTCAGGAGATGGAAACATGATCACGATACAATGATGGTTATATAGAAACCTATACGAGTATCGACGACTACGACGAGCCTCAGACAACATCGTCATATATAATGTTGCGGTTTCTGATTTCTCCGCCCATGTGTCCCGACAATTGCATGCGTCTTCAGAAGGCGTCTTCTGAGCAATTCTAACGTCCAATGCAGCGCGCTATACTAAGGAAAATGTAAAACAATGAACGGTTAATTTCCATCATTCGTATATGTATATATTTCTTATGGTTTGTATAGCTACACGAGGGATGGCATCACTCTTTATTCCACCGCAGAATACAAATATTCCATCCACCAAAATGTATAACTAAATTCGTAATTTATTATAGAGGAAAATGGTATAACGGATACGCAAGCCAAGAAATTCCAAGGGTAGTGAGCAGAATGCAAATATTCCGTCAATATCACAAGTAGATTATTAGGCAAAGTTCCTTTTTTGGCGCTTGGGGAACTCCAAGATATACAGTGGTTAAGCCAGCCAATATCAGTTTTCCAAAATGTGCACGTCATACGCAGACAGTAAAGAATTTTTTATTTTGTAATTGGACTCGGGAACCGAAAAAGTTGATGCTTACATAGTATATAAAATTTGTATGTTTTTAAAAAAATATTTTGCTAGTTGCAATAATATTCTTGGACTAATATTTGTAGAAGCAAACTAGTACAAGAGTGTCGTTCAAATAAGGAGCTCATGTATATACCTATGCTGCATTGTGAGACACGTTTGATCGGGTCAATTAAAACCAGTCTTTGGCATATTGTCTTGCTTTATATAGTGATGATAGCACAATGACTGTTCGCGCTCGCATGGCCGGTATTGTACATAAAATACACGCAGTATAGCTGTCAGCATTTATTTCTATGGACGCATTCAATTAAGGCGAATCCATTGCCGCGAATTTTAAAGCTGCATGTAGCTATATCATGTATGAAGGAAGTCATATACACATATATAGCAATATTAGTTTAATGGTAACGTAAACGACTGAGTTAAGTCTTACCATGAGTCACTGAGACAAATTCGGTTACCATTACCAAGAGGAATTCCACCCCCTGCATTGATGAGTGCATGCCAATTTTAATATTAGTATTGTGTCGATATCTTACGTGCCGATGTCTGAATCTCGATAGACAGAAAAAACATACTTGAGGCAAATATTTGATCACATGGCTTAGATTTCCTGCAATTTGCAAAATGTGAAACGATCCATATAATTTCTTGCAGGTTCATTATTGCCAATCAACATTTCACAATCATCGTTGCTGGATTGTTGTATATGCATGTTGAACCATTAAATCAGGTACGGTATAGAGTATTGGCACGGTACAGTATAGACAGAATCTGTCATGGTGCATAAAAGATGAGGTTTGTATATATTTGAAATATATCGTATCAAGTTAAGCTGCATATAAACCTTCATATCTTCGTTAAATAAGAAACGAAAATAGTAGTCGTATCAGTGTGGGTATTAACTTCTGTGCATTGACTAAAGAATCAGGTACTTTGGAGAAAAAAACCTCACTGAAAATATATTATGAAGGCCAATCAATCTTTTATAAAAATGGTGTGCCAAGCAACTTGAGTAATAGATCGCGATAAAAGTATATTACTATGCAGCCCACTAATTGAAAGTGTTTATTGTGATGCATGCAGTATCGGAGAACCTCTTATGGTTAGATATGTGTCCTCATGCACTATAGCAAATGCATGACTCTCTCCATAAAACTTGAATTAACTTCATTATCGCGCGATGGCCATGTATATATAGCTCTGGTGCGTCACATCAGAAATGAGAATAGAGTATAGTTATTTTATTTTTGTAATAAAAGCAGCAGCCTGAAACCTACCACGACTATTCTCATCCTTTATTTAATTTAGCTTAAATTTCATGCACTTAGCCTTAAAATATATATGCTTATAATTTTTCTCACTTCACGATTGAGAAACAGCTGATCGAACAAGTATAGGTACTTGGGCTAGCTCACCCACTAATTTACATTTTAAGTTTCAATTAGTCCTAAATGGCTACATACCACAGCTTTATATGTATTGTTACTAGGAAAAAAGGGTTTCAGAATTCTAAACTCATGACAATTTTTTATTAAATTCATGGGGAACAGTGTTGAGGCCGCGGGCTTACATGCAAACTGCGATTATTTTTGACAGGGAAAATTTCTATTTCTAAACGCGAATTTGGGAGAAAATTCGACAGCTATATATATATAGGGTGCGCCATTTAGACATGTACATACAATAATATACACTAAAATCGCAAGAGGAAAATTCGCACGAATAGAATACATGTGTGAACAATGTCTACATAATTTACGTTTGAGTTACAATATATATGCTTAAATATGGCATATTCATTGGAAATACCTGTTTCTAAATATTTTTGAGCTTGCAACCGGCGCGCTTTTCAAAGATAATTTCACAGTTTTGCCGATTGGTGGCTGTCTTATTGAGTAACTCTAAGCTTCGCCCATGCATGGTTTAATGATCGAGGATCGACAATTACAAAATTCCTGAAGCACACACATTATTATCACATGCAATATATAGCTACTATAGGAGAACAATCCGACATGCATGCAGTAAAATTACGGTACTGCACCCGCATGTCGGCTTGGCGTTAGGTCTAAAACTAATATTATTCACTTGAAATGCATTTAGAATTTAATAATCATGAACATATATGAATTGCACACAGGCTGGTCGATAAAAACCCTGGTTTGCAACTGAATATATATATTATATATAAAAACCATGCAGAAACGTTTGTTCGCAAACTAAGTTCGCTGTTCATAGCAACACATGTATCCATGTTGCACGGGTCCCATATAAAAAGTAAAATATCAAATGCCAAAAATCCTTAGAACGTTTCTCCTAAGAGGCATACGTCCATGCTTTGGATCCACTCAAAACATGCAGCTATAAAAAGAACACGATGCGGTTGAATACCGGTTCATGTGTGCGTGTTATCATGCTCCCGTTATGCTTTTCACCCTTGGAATTAAGGTTTATAGCGCTAAAGGTTGGTAAAAGATTAACTTTTTTCAAATTATATAATCGAACATGCTTATATCATAGTCTATATATTCAACATTCGGACGTTGCTCTCCGACGTATATATATATATAAGGATATATGTCTAAAAACTGTACCTGTTTAACCCCACAAAAGATGAACTTTGCTCTCGTGGTTAGAGGGATAGAAATCATCAGGAATGCAAACAGCATGTGCATGGAGCTGAAAATCACCTTGCCATGCGGTCACTCTTTCAGCGATCCCAGTATGACTGTGTGCATGTTATGTTCAAAGTTATTGAAAATATCCATTGTCCATGTTAACATATTGCAAAATTAAACAATGTGTAAATTATCTGCAATTTACCCTCCGGAAGCCTAAAAAACTCGCAGCTGCACGAGATACAGCTAGTCCTTAGATCATATAGTTGATTACAACATAAGGGATGTGTAAATCATCGCACGTCATAAGTCTTAGAAATGTTTAAGTGCGGCTCGTATAACAACAATGTTCGCGTTGAACTTATAACATAGAAGATAATTCCACGTAAATTAGTGACAGTATGGCGAATTGATTATGCAACATCGAAACTATATCATCGACATCGCCTTGAGGAAGAAAAGAACGCGAAATTTTGGTAAGCAATATATATATATATATATATCATATTGATATTGAGTTATAGCATGGCACATCTGCCTCTATTCAAGCCGTATATAAGAATTCCAACCATGCAAGAGTTCGCGAGGATATAAGGATTCAAACTTATAATGCCACTAGTGGAAACGTTTTGTACCAATATAGTATATTATAGTAAAATATTTAACATGGCTATAAATGTACATGCATGCATCATGCAATAGATTGCCATACTGCTTAGCCTATCAACTTTTAACTGTTAATTAATCCACTGAAATCATACGTTGTCCTAATCATTATGGGACACAATGTATATCAGTTATTCATCATAAAACTGGGATAACCACTGGAAATAAAATATATATAGTATATGATGAATTGTCATCATTGCATGGTTGGGCTATTTCCATCATTGTATGGTTCACAATAGATCTTAATTCTTTTAGTATAGTATAGGTAAAATTAACTCCTTGCTTTTATATAGTCGCATTGCGCGCGCATAAGAAATCGTATTTTCTCATTATACATTGATTTAACAGGAATGAACGGCGTATGGTGCTATAGAAGTATCGTCAATCGAGGTCAACGCGTTAAAGCTCGCATCCTAAATTAAGTGCATGTAAATCATGTGAGCTTTAACGCGTTGACCTCGATTGACGATACTTCTATAGCACTATACGCCGTTTATTTCTGTATGAATACAAATCTTTTAGTTTCTTCATTCTTTTCGGATACAATTTTAGGCATTTTAGAACGTTCTAAAACGCCAAATGTGAATTCGTGACACGCGAAATGAAAACATGAGTGTTGTTGCCTCAATTTCATGCATTGTCGAATACAAAAGTGGTTCTCGTAGTGGATTTTAATCAGTCAGGTCTTTCGTGAACATGGGAGTTTAATTGGTACTAAATAAAGACATGCATCGAAATGCAAATGCATGCATTGAATGGGCACTATTATGTACAATTACGATATGCCGACATGCATGCATGGATCACTTGCCTAGCTAGCTGTTTACACGATATGTCACTCACTAACGGAGCGCGAAATGGTCGTGAGGTGAGTGGCATTTTTTGAGTGGATGAGTTTGCGGAAATAGCTAAGTCTTGAGAAAACTTATATTTCTTTATTAAACTACATGGCCATAGCATACTGGCAACCATGAGATGATTGCATGGAAAATATAAGAATCAGTGCTCTACTTGCTTCACAACATTTTCCCTTTTGTTTTTTAATTTCCACAGAATGACTTCCATAGATCGAGGTGTTGAATGGGTCGTGCAATTTTTTAGTCTACCTAATAGCTATATATAGCGTGATCATGCATGTAAACTAACTAACAAGGGTAGCCTACTGTGTAAGGCTGCATATCAGCATTGCAAAAAGTCTACGTCCTTTTGTCTTTAACCAAATATGGTGAATATGATCACTGCAGTGCATCTGTGATCTTTTTACAGCCAAAAAAATAATAAAATCCGACATATTTACACCATACGTAAACCTTTATAGTAATCATGCAGTATAAAATACAAAAAAAATAAGATGAAGACAGTTTCGCATAATAATGATTTCTCTTTCGGGTACATCCAGCGTAGGTAATAAAACCCTGGGTACGAGGTTGGGGTACATCCTGCACGCACACCAGGGTGTTAGTGACGTAGCATATGCATGCGACCACGTTGCAGCAGCATTGTAATTGTGTTTGCCTTTCTCACAAAACCAGACACCAGTAATCATTATATGCGCCCACCGTGACAGTGGTGGGTGGTTTGATTTAGGGAAGCTTAATAAATAACTATTTGAACAATGATGACAAACAGACAAGTTAAGTTCATTCTTAATCCTGGGCACGTGTTCCAATACGTAGACTATAAAATAAAATAAACGGAACATCACATGGCCAATTAAGCGGATATATTTTGGCAGACAAAAATTAAAGCAAGGATCAGGTTCTGAGCTAAAAGACAATACACTCGTGTTCATTCTATTTGTGGATTCTAATCTCTGTACATAAAGCTAGAAATTAATTATCTATAGAGTAGATTCGCATTCCCAACCACTAAAATATATAACTAATGGCCGTGGCTTTTTTAGGAAGTACTGAAACACTGAAGCATGCATAGCCTCGAAAGTATGAAGCCATAGGCGGAATGGTCAAGTTTAGCATAACTATTAAATTACCATGATGACACTTTTTTAAAGTTTTTTTTTAATTCGATTTTTTTATAACAACTGTATCTTAATCTTATATATCATGCATAACTCCCGTTTCTTTGCCACATTTCTCATACCACTCACAGACGATGTATATAAAGAGATGTATATTAGTCTCGTGCGGAGTTCAATAACGAAAGCTATAAAACCTTAATTCAGTAATTAGCACCGTTATATATATATATAGAGAGAGAGAGGTTGTTGAACTTGAAGGTATATATAAACTCGCATGCACACGCGTTGTATCTCACAAACCCGATCTTTAAAGATCAGGGATATAACTGATCATGCAGTTGTACATTGAGGTAATTTACATTTGTATCGATGAAAGGTTCGTTACAGATAGCGTTAAAAGTGTATGGGGATACTACAAACAACCAGACAAGGCGTGGACAATCTACAATACGGTAATTACATATTAATAAATGCCTCGTGGAGGGTAAACAAGCAACCTGAGTGGTCACTAGACAAAACAACCCAAATAACAATCAATTTCAAGACCATAGTAAACACAATTACTTGTCTAGTGTCCCACTATATCAAACGTACAATGTTAAGCCGATTCAACTCAGATTGGTATATATTACTGTATATTGAATACGTTGAATAATCCATTTGTTTCCGAAGGCTAATTTAGTCCTATATAATTTAGTAGCAGCCAGACTCTATATTATACTATGGAGACCTTAATCAAAGTAGAGGCGTGCGATTTTCACAAGCGAGATCAAAAAGGAAACCCAAAGTATAGACCCTCAGGTACGTACAACGTTGCTATCTATAGTTGTTGCATGCCTTCAATAAAACGACTTCCTCGATCTATATAGAAGAAACAATATAGAAAACTGTGATACATATAGAAACTTTAATATTTCTTCGTTGGTTTTCCTCTTTTTATTTCTATTAACGGAAACAGCTTTCAGGACGGAAATTCCATGATCACGACGCATATCATATAGGTATATATATGCATGGTCCTTTGCATGTATATGTATACATGCACGATCACCAGAAATTTGATGCTATATTCATATATATAATCTATTCTATCTCTATTTAGTTTAAAAGATTACTGCTTTTTTATACTTAGAGCTATATGCCATTCACTATCGTGTTACCTTCTTGAAACTTTGAAGGGATAACTATGTACATAGACGAAATCAATAAATTAAAAGCATGCAATATTAACATGATAAAAGCATTTTTTTGATTCACAATATGAAGTCTCTCACCCAAGTTTTTAGGAATAGCAAAGTTACTTCATTATGATTGCGAGATATTGAAACTTTATCAACACAAACTATTAATTTTCTTTTTGAGCCAGGGATCAATTAAATTCGTGTTTTTGAAACACAATATACAGCACTGTATTCATTCCTGATCTTATTTCACAATGCACGTTGCTGCTCTGAGAAAGTCCCGACCATGCAGTTGTAAAAAGTAGCTTTTGTGTTAAGTTTCTTTTAATAACTGAAAGTTAAGAGTCATTCTAATTTGAATAATTTATTTTGCATGTTGCATGCAATTTCCCCCCAACTGTATATTTGGAAAGTGCATGCAGGGTTTGGCCATGGCTGTAAGGTCTAGGTTATACGTAATACGTCGCATTTTGGTCGCGTCGAATGCAATTCAAGCAATAAATAATAAGATGATAGAAGCTTAGCGAGGTTTATATCACCTATAATTATCCATTGTTTGAACCGCATTCAATGCGATCAAAATGCGACGAAAAAAACTACGCCTAAGATCCATATGCAGATTCTAGCTCGCAGCTTAATTCGACAAGTACATTTCAGTGTATGCACAATTGATGCCACGCAATTAATACTTTCAAACACAAAGTCATGCAGTTATGGCTTCCTGAATAATGAAGGCATTCTTCTCAGTGCGGCTTGAAATTGCCTTACAATCCTCTCTGAGTTTTGCCATTTTACAGTTTTTACCGTTACTCATGAAAAAATTATTCGCGTGTTTAATATATTAAATTATTCGTGTTTTTCAAAATATAATTTCGAAAAACAATTTGACCTGTTCGACCACGTTTTTACTCTTGGCACTACATGCATGGTCAGGGAGTGCCAAGCGGATCTGGATTGGGGAGTGCATGTCGTGGATTTTGACAAGCTTTTAAAATAAAAATGTCCAACTTTTCTATCCGCATGCGGGAAATACATTTTTTCAGCGAACGTTTTGTCTAACTGCATGACATATGTATAGGTATACTAATTTTTTTTGTCATAACCTGATCGATATACTTTTACCTAAATGTTAGGCTCTTTGACATAAACGCCCTGTTGCATGGTGCAATTTTTCTTGCAACCCCCAATGCAATTCTTCTTTTGAGAGATTTATATTTGGCAACTACCGAACTTTTGTCTTTATTACAATCCATGGGCATGGTTTTCTTACACTTACATTTTGAAGCCTCATCACTAATTTACATCTCTATAATTTTGAAGCCTCTTCACTAATCTACATCTACAAAAGTAGCATTGCATTGCAAGTTGCAGGAAAAATTGCACCGTGTAACATGGCCTATAATGTCCCCCATGTTACATAAGTGTAGGAGATTGGTAAAACTGGGCGAGGGGTATGGTAACCAGACATCGCCATGGACCATGGTTGGTCCGAGCTGCTAGATAGTTGAAAACAACCGATTTTGACCATGACCATAGCCTTTAAATGTAAACCCTTTTTATTTGTTAGTTGGCTATGTAGCCGGACTACCATGCAGTGTGTTACCATTAGAATATAGGCATCCATGAGTATATATGGCATTATTTGCACCGGAATACCAAAGTACAAACCCTGACCAATGAGTGGAGGACGATGTTTTCTTACATATCTTGTCACATTAAATGAAAGAGATCATGAGTGATATTTCCGTCGTAAGTCATTCGCATGTATAGTGCCCCACTTGCGCAGTAGTGGACTGGGGCATGCAGAGGCTAAATACTGCATACATGCACCCAAAGCTTATAGTCATTTCTTATTGATTGAAGGAGCTAGGACTTGATAAAACCTTAGCAGCATGCATGGTATTTCCACAGTCATATATATATATATATATATATATATAATATATATATTATAATATATTATATATATATAATATATATATATATATATATATAAACAATGAATGTCAGTTGGAGTCAGTTGGTCACGTATCCTAGTTTTTTTTTTGCATTCATTTGCATTTTTATTTCGCGTGTAAACATGAAAACACGCAAAAAATTCCGGTATTTTTTTCATACGACATTTCGTGACAGTAAGTAAAGATGTCACATCAAGTTCATTTTTTGAAACATTAGCACTTAGCATGAAGACATCTGCTGCACTTGAAGATTTATAAGGGGTTTGAGTATGATTGAAAGTAAATTAAAAGCAGATGTCAGTGGACGAGTTTTTTTATCAATCGACGATATGGTTGAATATCTTTCTACAACCGTTCATGATAATAAACCAACCAATGAGTGCCTGTAATTTAAATTAGGCCCTTAATGAGAATTCTAGAATTCTAGTCGAATATTGACGTGTCTATGCACTTCCAAGATTTTTAAACAAAAGGAATGATATGGATCAATTTCGAACAAACGTCCTCAACTATACGTTGACACAGGAACGTTCATCAATTTTCAGGTAAGCATGGTTTTGCTGGACTTATTCTACAGCATTTTTTATTGTCGAAAGTATTCGAATTTACATTTTTTAATCATGTTGGATTTATACTACACGCTCCCGTGGATTTGCTGGGCACATCTTTATACTTATCAGCCAATATTGCCTGAGATTTTAGACTGATGCCGGATTATAAACGACACAATCAACTAAAACTGTCAGGCAGTGATTTTTTATATGCTAGGTTTTCTATTCTAGATCATTATGACTAAGTCTGGTATAGTACATGCATGTAAACAGGACGCCTAAAGTGGCCTCATTAAAATCCGTTATTTTCATTCGCCTAACGCATAGTTTTAGGTTATAGCTATCATGCGACTATGTATATCAAAGCCTCCTCCATTATACCCTCATGTGAATGGGTTCGATGAAACGGCTTTACGCGGTATAGAACAGCGAAGCAAACTAAACAACAAAACAACTAATCTTAAAAAAAAAACAAAATGAACGCAAGCATCACGACGCTGGCTCAATCCTATAGCCCTATATATAACAGCTATATAAGAATTAATATACAGCTTATTCAAACAAGGTTGTATATTTAGGATTCAATCAAGGTTATTTCGGCATATAATTTCTTCATTTACGATTGAATATAACCATGCATGCAGCTCAGAGTTTAGGAGTCTATTATATAGTCGTCATGCAGAGGCGATCATTTATATGTATATGCCTTTGGCAAACAATGGATGTCAATCATATTGCTTTGGAGGACGTTTCCAGCATTATATATGGCGCGGATAACAACAACAACCGTAGATCCGAACTTGTGATGTTTATCTCACCGGTTCGCATCTACGGACTTTGTAGTTTCTGCTTTGTCATTTGTGGAGTCAATAAGGAAGATGGAAAAATTCGACACAGTCATGTGATAAAATAAGACTGAGCATATAGAATGAATAACTGGAGTATGAGCTTTAACTGTAGAACTGTAGACTTAAACTGTACTGCAGGGTTGTATATAGCTGTAAGAGACATTTAATGTCTGTTGGTCTTAATTCTACTAATTATTCTATAATTACTACACACGCTGGATTTATTGGCGGCCCTTACACAAAACAAAGCATATACCTTAGGCTTTGTTAAATTACGCTTCGAAACGCACGCATTTTAACCTTTAATATATTATCCTTTTGAAGCAGCTATAGGAAAGGTGCATTTAGAACGTTACCAAAAATCCTATTCATATATACGACATGCATACAATCATTCACATTAGGTTCCGGTTGTACTCTGTATGTGCATAACTTACTCCAAGCAATTTTGTATGCAAGTAAAAAACGTCAGACCATACTTATCAAGATATGCTCTGTTTGTCAGCATGAGATTTTGTTATATGTCATGTCTTTCACCCACTACCCTGGGCAACAACTCACATGCATTCGTTTTCATGCCAAAACGCTTTCAAACACCGTCAATTTACAATTAAAGTTGAAGCTAATTTAACATATTAAGCATAATTATTTTTCCTTGGAACATGTGAACAGAAACAATGGTCTTGGTCTAAACAATAAAATAGACAAAAATGGTTTTGAAAACACTCGAAAACGACGCTCGTGTGCACATGCATAGCCACAATGTGCAAACTTAATAATAATGAACTTGAAATTGTAGCGAGACTTATTAGAGTGCATTGCCAAGCATGGGCTTGTCTTACGTCTATGCACTGATGTGAGTGATATTATCAATATTGTGGTTACTGTATAAATTAGCATGCGAAGTAGGCACTATAGTTTATATTTCGTATTACTATACATGCATGAAGTTTTATTTCATTTTCTATTTCCCTTTTTTGTGTCAAAAACCTGGCACGTGCTTTTCACTTTCGTACGGCGCCTTAAAGAAACTGGCACATCAATATACATTGTTTTTAGCTTATGACTGGCGGCATTTAGACAAGCGTGTGGGAGCAACCGATATATTTACGATTGAAAAGAAAGGAAATCAATCTTAAGAATACTATAGAAGAGAAATGCCAGGAGAAAGCGGCTAAAAACTTGAAAATTTTGGTTATTAATAACTTATTATCTTAAAAAATAGTTTACTTCAGCCTTGTTACTCCAATAAGACCGCAAAGTCTTGCAGACTGTTGCTAAAATCCGGGTCACTCTGGCATTTATTAGGGCGGTGATACGCCCCCCGTCCAGGAGGTACCCATGCAGCGGTCCTAATGCTTCACTAATGTTTGTTTTTTCGCTTTCCTATCGATTTAATCAGCCATAGTTTGGCATAAATAAATCAAAATAGGATCTAAAGCGTCTTGCTATAAAAATTTATGTAAAATCCGTTATCAAATTTTTGTTACCGCAATTCCTTTTTGATTCGTACGTTCAGTCCTCTACAGCTTTCCGCACAAATTCTGGTAAAACAAGACTTGCAGCGTGGACATCTGCATTATAGAAGGTCATTTGCAATAGCTGTTCATCTTCCAAACGCCTAATAGGCATTTCAAAATTAGTTTCCTGGATAAAAAACAAACACACAATCAACCATTTTTCAAAGTATAAAGAGACATAGCCACACACGTTCTTAATCTGAAGATACCCCACGCAGAATGCAATGTCAGATTGTCATCTCACCAAGCAGGGCGCTTATATACTGTAGATTGTAAGCTATTCCATAACACGAACCTTAACATGTTGGAGATTTTTAGAGATGCGTTTACCGAAGTAAATGAATTAAATAAGAAATATATCATGCACGGAAATGAGACTAACCTTGTTTAAACTCCGCAATACGAATGTTGCCTGTCCGTATGGGAATGTAGGGATGCAAATGTAGGCTAATTTAACGAGCGGGAATAATTCTCTTTCCCTTTTAACTTGTTTTCCAATTTTTTCAAGATCAGTCCAAAAACTTGTAGCTACAGTGACGAAAATTGGGTGAACTTATAAACTATACTGCATGCTCAAAATGCGGAAAATAAGGACCTTTCAGGAGCATATCTCATCGTCGCCTATACTAAACTCGTCCTGACCTTTTGAGATACATAGTCCTCCTTGTTTTAAAGAGCTCTTTAAAAGTTCACTAAAATTCGTATTAAAAAATACATCATCTGGAGCTATAAAAATGAGTTAAAGCATGATGAGTTGATATATATACAAACTAGGCGATCGATATTATAGTAGTGGTGGCAATAACCATTCCCCATGCAGAACTTCACTAAATCACTTAAATTTTTCAAATTTCTTTTAGTGAATATTTATCATGTATTTGATCTTCAAGATCACATGCATTTTCACTGCAAAATGTATATATTTGTCACATAGATTTGTCAAGGGATATCTGCCAGGACGTATCCTGGTAAAAGGACGTGTCAATATCGTCTGTTTTAACTGTCCTGTCAATGAATCACGCTATAACATTCCTTTTTTTTTTTCGTTTCCAAGTTTGATATTCTTAAATTTCACAACACGCCGTATATACCTGTAATAATAACATCAAATTCTTGTAAATGCCGACGTAAAAAGTCTTGATAGTCACAAACGCAAAATTCGTGCAGCTTGGAATTATTATAACCGGCAGCTGAACGAGGAAAATATTCTTTTGCTACATCAGCAATTTCCTGTATAAAAGCAAATTTATTGAGAAGCGACTGTTAGTTTACAATTTCCCTTCAGCACACGTTCTCTGTTAGGTAGAGAAGTGTCCGTCCTCTGGTCCTGTGAGAGACATTTTATGCCTGCTCTTTAGTACACTCGGATGATAGAGTTGTTAATGTTAGGAAAGGCTGCATGTAATTCTACTATACCTCGATATTAAAAAAATATATAGAGAAGAACAGTTTACAAATGATTAAATTTTCTATGCATGCAGTACCTGGCTCTGTTCAATCTGAGTAACAGTTTCAACTGCCTGGTGCTTAGCTACTTCATGTATGATACCACCGCTGAATCCACCAATAATTAGAACCTAAAGATGAAACACCTACTGTGACAACAGATAAGTTGGTTCATCCCGCTACATTCAGGAAATACTGACCTTCTTAGGGAAGGGATGAGAGTTAAGTGCAAGATGAGCAAGAGATTCCTCATATAACGGCTGATCCTTCTCGGTGTACTGCATAATATCATCGACCACCAAAACATTGCCATATATAGAACTGGGAACACAAAACATTTTGGAACATATTTAAAGCACTCTAGGTTACTAACTACCATATAATACTATCCTAAATCTTTTTAAACGATTCTTAATCAATGCAATTCCCAGCATGGGATAGATGACCCAGTTTAAATTGCTGAAATAACGTTTATCATATATAGCACTCTCTAGTGAGTATATCATGCACCAAATGTAGCCGCTAAGAGTTTCTTTACAATAAAGTCAGTTCAATTTCAGTACAATAAAGTCTCGTTAAATTGGCATAATGTATAGTCTATAATCATGCACATAACGGCCTAAGTTTTGGGCACCATGTTGTACACCGAACTCAAACTCAATCGGATACAAATACGAAAACGAATCGAGACGAATACGAATCGAATTGTGAAATATTTATGTACTTTTTGAAGACAACCACATCACAGCGGTCAGTTCTTTTATGCAACATGATTTCCTTCTTGACCAAACCGAAGGATTGTCCAGGAGATCTTTCCACGTTCTGCCAGATCCAGTTTTGATTGTCAATTTCGTCGCAACCGTCGTAGTCATCATAGAACTAAATATAAGATCAGGTTTGCATGGTTGTGCATGCAGCGTTTCAAAAAAATTATAAAGCAGAGATGTTATTACCTTCTTGAAATACTGCGGCGTAGCAAAAGCTGCTTTATGAATGTCTGAATTATAGTATCGCAGATTGAATGAAAATAACTGCTCTTCTGTGAATATTGTTACTGGATCCGCAAACCTGGTCGCCTATATAAAGAAGTTATAAAAGGAAAAAAGTACCTCCTGCATGATAACCACAGTAAAATGTTTGTTAAATTTGTCGAAAAGATGATCACATAGGTTGATCACCGACTTTCTTGGTCCAACCATGTTGATAAATCATGAATCTTGTCAATTATCAGAGGATTAAAAAGAATTAGACATTAATTACACCCCTTTACATGCATGCACTGCTGTGCAAATTTAGAATGCTTTAATTTTGCTATTTTTTTACTATTGTTGTCCAGTTTGGGAACAATCTGACGAACAAAGTTAACGAAAAATTAGAAAAACTGCAAAATCATGCAGCTAGAGTAATTTTGAGCGCTAGTTATGATACGACAGATACGTCTTGTGAACTTCTTCAGAATTGTTTTTTAATAATATATATAAATATATACATACATAACAATAACTAATAATAATAATGACTATATTTTTTAACCTGATTTGTCTGATTTGCAATGGCTCAATAGGTAATGAAGTGTTCGTATACATGGACTGAATATTAAGTATACTCAATACTCACTTTATTACGACTGCACAGAAAAAAGCCAATTTGTCCGCAGGGATAAGTTGGTACATTTGCGAATGCATACTGAACAACGGGGAAAAACGATTTACAAGACTCGAGAACTGTTCTAATGGTGGAAGAATCGAGCCATGGGCACTCGCCTGCATGAAAAAAAATTAAATATCTATATTATATCTTAAAAAGGATGTTTGTTGCTGTACATAAAACAATAAAGCATTAATTCTCACCTTCACCGCACATAATTCCATCTGGTTTTAAAGCAGAACTCACAAGTTCAAAATATTCTTTCTGGAAAAGCGCAGAACCCGGTCCTTAAATTTAAAAGAACAACTTACATACCATTATTTCAAAACCCATCAAGGCATATATAGCTACACTCCGATGAAACAGGAATCGTAAATATGAAAACGTTACCAAACGTTATCTTGTTGTAATTTGGTATATTCATTAGTTATAAAATGGCAGGACACCGCCGGGTACATATGAAACATCATGCACCTCTCATATGATTGGTTTAGAAAGAATGACGCAAAGAAGTATACCTTCACAATCTGACGAATCTGTAATGATGACATCAAACTCTTCTTTATACTGTTTCATGAATTCTTTACCGCATCCAATGTGCAATTTATGTTTTGAGCTGGCGTATCCACAAGACAATTTTGGTAAATACTTCTTACAGTATTTAACGACGTCCTAAAGAGGGTAAAGGATGGAACGGCAGATGTCTACATATGTTTAAATGCCTTAACAATTTAACATCACATAGTTTGTCATTTTCTAAAAATACCGATAAGTACAATACTAGAAGTAAAGATAACCTTAGACTTCCTAAACAGGGCCGCCGAGAGGGGGGGGGGCATTTTGCTGAATAATTTACAATTATATATAATATACAATTATGGTAGTAACGAGTTTAAGCAGTGCCAATACTACCAATACTGATTGGAAGTACCTCTGACCTCATCTAGCTCACACTGGACAATTGACTCGACTGAAGGATGCTTCGCTACTTCACGGATTACGCCTCCGTCGCCCGCCCCGATAACCAAAACCTTAAATCAAGGGAGATACAGCTCTATTAAAATCACTGCATGAATTAAAATACACAACAAATTCATTTAAAGGTGTCCATTCAAACAACCACATTACTACGGTTACTGCATGCTTATAAGCTGCTTTCCATTGTCACGTTTTTTGCACGTACGTACACGCACGTAAAAGCTTAAAACCTTCTAAGTTGTTGTGTAAAGTAATTTTATGTCATACCAAAAAACATACCAAATCATCAATAGAAGTACACGTACGTAAAAGTTTAAAACCCTCTAAGTTGTTATAGAGTAATCTAATTGGAGAAAAAACATACCAAACGTTCAATAGAATCCAACTCGTAATTTTTATAAGCGTCATTATACGTGCATGTACATCAGTACAGTACGTAGAAAAAACGCGACAGTGCCTAGATCACGTTTTTTTGCACGTACGTACACGCACGTAAAGTTTAAAATATTTCAAATGATACTTATAAAATCTACGACTGAATGAGGTTGGATTCGGGTTGGATTCTGTTGAAGATTTGGTATGTTTTTTCTGCAGTAAAATGAATGTAACAACTTAGAAGGTTTTTTAAACTATTACATGCGTGTATAGCTAAGTACGTGCAGTTTAAAACTTGTAGACTGACATAATATACAAGCTCTGTCAGTCATCCGATTATGGCTTATACACAAGTTGTCGTATAACTGATATACCTTTTTTGGATTTGGGTGCGAATTCAAAGGGAGAAAAGCTAGCATTTCTTGATAAGCAAATTCATCCTTGTTTGTAACTTGTATGACTCCATCAAGAACCAAAACATTCCCATGATCTTTGCTGAAGGAATTATGGTAGTTGGGCATTAATTTGGTTCAAAGCAGGTTATAAAATTAAAGTCTCTTTGGACCAGGATCAACCAGGATTTGGTAATGAAAAATGAAACACAACGAAATGTCCATAGTTGTTCGTATGTAAGCAGAACCAACCCACAAAATTTATTCCTGAAGTATTCACTAAATTATATATAGTTGCACCTCAAGGAGAATCTTTAAACAAAAAATACACCTTTTGAAAATCAAAATGTCTTGAAATTTCGATTTTTGCTGCAGAAGAACTTCTTCAACTTGCAAAGACATAGCTTGTCCATGGTAGAAATTGATGAATTCATAGAACCAACCGTTTTCAATTTTTGCCATTGTAAACGTTTTCTGGAATGATAATACAAATACAATATTTGTGGATGCCACTGGTTATAACAATAGGTAGGTCATTGTGATGTGACACGCATATAAACTGCATATAGGGAGAAGATGAGAGGAGGAAAATTAACACACAATAAAATTCAATTTTCACATATATATTTCCTAGTATTTCTTATGGGAGTCATAAACAGAAGCTATATATTATTACAATCAATATGTAGTTATCTCTATATCTGTGTAGGTCACACTAGTAACAACATATTTTTGGAGTCAAATTAAGTACTTTCTTAATATGCACATGTTGATTGGTCAAGAAGCAAGTTTCTTTTTAAAAATAATTTCCTGAAGGCAAGGTGATTAGTGATTACAAGCATATATTCAATCAGCCAAAGGCAAAGTAGGTTAACAAACAGGACAACCAAAGGGTACCAAAAGGACAAATTAACTAATGGTAAACTCCCACATTTGATCTATAACAGTATAGAAAAAAGGGAAACGTTTTCTGTAAGAACTTATCATCCCTTGGACACTATGGGTTTCAGGTACATGTGTAGGTTCTCATACAAAACATAAACTTCAAGGTTTTCCTGCAAGCTTGTCAGGAGGTGAAAAGATTAATTAACAACCTTTCTCAAAATAGGCATGAAAATATTCTTCAATATGTTAACTGAAAATTCTTTTTCATGCATGTGTTGAAGGACATCCTTCTCTGTATTTAGCAAGCATTAGCCAGAAAAAATGTGGACAAAATGTAGAAATTGAGTTTAAACATTTCACACGTCAGGGGTGGAGCTGTTCATTTAAATCATTTCCCTATTCCATGACATCCTAGAGGTTAATTAGGACTATATAAGCACAGGGACATTTGAACAAATTTGAAATGTTTACCCTTAAAAATTTGCTGTGTAAATAAAACTTACCAAAATATTCCAGTTTCTCCTTAGGCTGTTAGGAATTTATGTAATTAACAATTCAACATCAACTTTGCATGCGATGAATCACCTGATCAAAGCATATAAAATTCTTCCATCTTTTTTGCAACTTTATATCCCATATTGTCAAAAGCATACATTTACAACATCGGTTACTACTTGAATAGTTAGCAATTTTGGGTTAATTTTAGTTATGATTTACTCTACATAATAAATATGTATATTTATATTATTTACTCAGAGTTCCACCTGTTCCGAAGTGTCAACAATCCAAAAGACAATTCAGTAAACAGATTCAGATCAGTAGGTAGATCTCTATGAGTTCACTGATCTCTATAAGTCTCCGACCATATCTCCGACCGCGATTCTTTTAACAATGGATTTTAATGAAAGACTTCATTTTACAAGACGATTTGAAACATAAACAAAAATGGTGATGTTGACGTGTTCTTCGTACTATATCAGATCGTCGGATTAAATTTATGAAACAGAAAATTACGTTTTTGTAGCGTATTTACATCTTACATCTATTTTATGCCTTGAAACAGCGATACACTGTGGCACTGCCATGTCATCGATAAAGTTTGATGTCAATCAATAGCTAATACGATTGTACGTTGCAACCTGTCTAAAATAATCATCCACTAGTAAAATCAACTGTTATGAACGGGCAAGAAGAACCTACGAAAGTCTACACAGTTCGGGTAGGATCGCAGGAGCTTTCATTTCGCCTCGCACACGAGGATGACCCGCCACCTAAGATCAGGTTATACAATGGAAATAACTCAATTGCTATTTTCGCATTCAACAAAAGAAGTGATTCATATATTGAACTACCGAAAGATGATGTAGAAAATTTTGATCGAGCTTTAAGAGCTTTAAAGAAGTGCACATGCAGACACTCTAATAAAGTAAACCAGAGAGGTGATGAAAGACTTGATAAACAGTTGGCTAGACTTCAGAGAAGACTGGAAGAAAGGACCAGTGGAGACCAGTGTTCTTACTGTGAACAATTAGCTGATGTTGTTAATCTTGAATTTGAAGTTACTCCAAGTTCTGCTGTTGCAGGTATTTGACCAAATCATAGAATTACCATTTACTCAACAAAATACATCTTCCACGAAAAAGGTTGCCTCTGCTTTTTTATCTTTTAACAATCAACTAACAATTCTCGTAAATTGTTGTATCTTAGGGGGCATTTAGAACTATCATAAATCTAAAATGAGTAATAGCATAAACCTCCTGACCATTAAGTGCCCCTAACTAGTGCACTTGTGGATTGGGTAGAAATTGTGTGATTAGGATTTCATCCCACTTTTAATATGTTGTGTATTGAATTTCTTACTAATATTTATGTAATTTACTGTCTTGGCAATGGAAGTGTTGATAAAATAAAAGTGTTGATCGGTTCTGACTTCTGAAACGGAATTTAATTGGCTCATCTAGGTGTAACAGGAAGTTGATCAATTTTCTATCAAATGAATTGATCAACTTGAGAAAAGGAATTGGTGCAATATTTTATCAACACTTCCATTGCAACGACAATAGGTCTGGTGAACTGTTATACTTAAACACATAGGTGCAACATTCAACTTCAAACATCCCAATCCTAAAACTAATATGATGGTCAGCACCTTTTTGTTTTCTTATAGAGAAAGATACTGATGATTTGAAAATGTCAGAGCCTCAGGTAATTTAGCTGAAGTATCCTAACAATTGGAGAACAATCAGGATTTTAATAGACTTTTCAATAGTGAAAGGATAGGGCAAGATAAATGTAATATATCTTGGCTGCATCTATATGCTATAATATAGGTATTGCTTAATTGGTTAATTTATCTTGTCCACATTGATATAGATAACATCATTAGGTTCCACATCTGCAAAAATATCTTGGCAAGAGAGTGTAGTTAACAATGAACATCTGGCCAACTGTATATTTGAGCTAGAGATGTCCAAGTCTAAAAACACATCATTTCACAAAATTTACAGGTATTCAATCAAAAATATTACTGGATAGACTAGATCTGGATTGTTACCAATTAAAAGTGTTAATGACAATGATAATTAAGTGAATCTTGAGTCACCCTAACAAGAGCAAGGCTGATAAAAAACTGTGACATAATCAACGAAAGGTGTAAATTTATTTTGAAATCAAATAGATTTACTTTTTGTTTGTAGTGGTCCTGAACAATCTTTCATTGCAACAGGCTTGTTACCTGGAACCAAATATTATTTCAGGTATATGCATGGTTTAATTGCTAAAATGTAATCCCCAGAGAAGAATTCTCGAATGCTTAGAGTCAAATGTAGTGTATCACATGTGATGTTGCACTGCATGTTACAAATTACACTTTTTCATTTATTTTTATACATAATGTACAATTTTCTACTAATACTGAATTCATTTGTTTTCTTGAAATCTGTATAAACATAGACTATGTGCTGTCAAGGATACCATCAAGGGACCATTTTCTCCTGACGCCTTAATTATGAAAGAAGCCACAGCCCCATCAACCCCTGATATGCCTCATATATCTAATAAGACTAAAACTAGCCTGGCATTGAAGTGGGCCGTAAGTAAAAATTGCTGTTTTGACTACTAATGTAGTGTAAATATTTAGAATTGAAATTTTGGTAGATAGTCAAATGAACTTGAGTGGTGATAAAGCTAATAGTAATGCAATATTACTGTGCCGGTTTGATAAGATCTTTAAAGATATACTTTTTTGGATTATGTCCTAAAACATAACAAAACAAAGCTTCTTCTTCTCTCAAAAGCACCTGGGTACGTCCTAATACTAAGCTACAGCAGCTATAGGACACGGACAGTCTGTGAGTCTGCATAGCGATACAAACGTTTGAATTCAATTACGAATTCGTCCTAATGCTCTATTTTATTCCAAATGTTCAGGTTAAAAGTGATAATGGTTCACGGATAACGTCATGTGTTTTACAATGGGATAAAGGAGAGACGGATGGCCAGTTTGAGACGATATATGAGGGTCCACAAAAACAGTATAAATTTAATCACAAATTTCCTCCCAAAACGACTTGTCGGTTCCGCGTTAAAGCAATAAATATGATTGGAGAAAGGTTGGTAAAACAGTACAACGTTTAAAAGATCTAAATCACATTGCTGGCCACCGCCCTCTTTATTTAATACTCTTTTTCAATAATTGCGCCAGTTGGACATATAAATCATCAGATAATTAAATCATCAGTTGAAAATCAGTTATCAAAACGATGTGATTCGGTTTTCATGAACAACTGCAAGTTTTTTATGAACAACTGCAACTGAAGAAATGCATGGGTTGGAGAACCGTCACGGTCACTCTTACGACAATAAGCATGCATTCACCCGCCATGCATGTAACGCCTAAATTTTTTTATTTAGATTTACTTAATTCATAATTTGTTTTTCAATGATTGATTTAGTGAATTTAGCCCAGAACTTCGCTATACTTCAAGCGCTGGTGTGCCATCGATTCCAGACCCTCCTTCCTTGCTCAAGGCAACTACTAATTCATTACAACTTTCTTGGAAAAAACCAAATACTAATGGAGGTACATATCCTAAATCCCGCGTATCCGCTTTATTTTACAGAACTAGTAGTATAAATCATGGAATAGTTAGCTGGTTTAAATTTGCATGGTTATTGTCATTTGTTGATCATAAATGTCAGATTATATTGTAAATAGTTGAGTTTCAATTGCATGTACGTTAATGTTTTTAAATAAGAATTGTTTTTACTTTGTTTTACGTCAACTGTTGATGACTTTTACAGCTGATATAACGGAGTATATATTACAAATGGATGACGAGTTTCAGGTCAGATATATTGTGTTTCATTTTGACTTTTCTCTTCTATTTTTGTCATTATACATCTTTTCTTTTCTATATTTCTTCTATACCTTTTTCTGCATGTACACGTAAACGCTGTTCTAAGTATTTTGGAAATTTTCTTAATTTTTGGAAACAGGGTTATGGATTCTTACCAGTATATCGAGGGATTGAACAAACCTGCATTGTCAGAGAGAACTTGAAAAGAAATAGATCATACAAGTTCAGGGTAGGTTTTTACGTATGCACAAATGGACCCTTCTATAACTTGATATTGGCTGATATTATCTGAATGTGCGAAAAAAGAACATAAAGTCTTTGATTGGTTAAAATTAGTCATTTAAGTAGTGTGATTGTCATGAATAAGTAGTGTGTTACCCAGTTATTAAGCTTTAATTGTCTGAATAATCTCATCAATGTAAACTAACAGTATAAAAGTATGATATCAGTCCAAAATTTGGAATTTAAATACACTTAGCTATTTTTCTCTTCACACATGTTGTTTAGTTGTGTGCCATCAATGTCGAGGGTGAAAGCAAGTGGAGTAACAGTGTATCATTCACGACCAAATGCGAGGCTCCAGGTAAGTTTATGAAGTTTCGAAAACGTGCCTATACCTGTAGGTCCTTCAACAGTGCATGTAAGCAGCAACAGTGCATGGGGGATCATCACGTTAAACAACAATGTGAATATTGCATCCTATTGCCCCTAACAATCTTGTGTCCTAGCTTCTTCTTCATGCGCCTCGTCGGTTTTTTTTTAATCATTCTCCTAACATATTGATGCATGTGCAGGTCGTATGTTGCCTCCAATACTGGAAGGAAAAGTTCACACAAAATCGTTTATGGTATCGTGGGGTATGTTTTGCCTTTTGCTCCGAGAATATTATGTTCAGTTTCTTTTTACTCAAGATTTTCATGTTTATGGTTGATAGGAAGATAATTTTCTAAATGATCAAGAAGAGAAAAATGTTTAAACAAAGTTGTTTTTGAAGTTGCATTTAAATTTTCAGAATATGCAGCTTCATTTCAACTTCATTTCTATGCATTTCGTAAAGGATAGCTGCATGAGCATATGTTGATCTAATAAAATTCGTTTCTATGTAGTTCCCCCCAGTGACGATGGTGGCACTGAGATTGTTAGTTTCAGCTTGGAAGTAAACAGTGGTGCAGGTGTTTTCCCGTTGGTTATTTTGTATTTACGTACTCTATGTACCTTTGTCTGCATATTTCATTTTTTCTGCAATCTGAAATATTTATATACCTATAATGTTAGACTTGTTAGTGCAATATGATATATTACTACAATGACAATGTGTACATATGTATACAATTAATTCTTAGGCTGCACAGGTTTGTTATCTTTTGATCGAATATAATTAGGTATCGAAGTTTTAGGTTTGATAGTCATTTTGTTATTCCGATAACGACATTTGCTTTCAAGGAGGTGAATTTAAAGAGTTATACAAAGGCCTGGATACAACCTTTAAGATTCAAGATCTTTCACCTGGCCAAGCGTACAAAGTCCGCGTCTCTTGCTCGTCCTCTGAATTTAAAAGTCCGGTACGATTATGCTGCATGCTCAATACAATCCTTCTATATAAGATGGGCCCATCTATCACGGATTGACTTATATATTTTTGTCTGAATGTGATGAATTTCTCTGCATTTAGTGGTCGGATGCGACCAGCATTAAGACACTGCCAGTTATACCTGATCCACCTACTGCACCACGAAAAGTGAAGAATAGTAAACCACAAGCATATGCCATTGAACTTGAATGGGGTAATTTTTCCACAATACCAAGTGTTTCAAAATAGGCAAATCTATAACCAAGTAAATGATCCAGTTTTTTCATGTGCATTTAGCGATAGATAAATGTTGGAAAACTGTTATCACATCTATACCTTTTCCAAGAATGTTGCTCCTTAGTAAAAACCTGCATTAATATCGTATTTCTTTCTACCAGATGCTCCCAATTATGATGGTGGTGCTAATATAGCAACTTACAATGTCCAAATCAAGGCAGCTGCAGATAAAGGTGCATGAAGTAATAGTAATATTCAGTATATAGGTTTCAAGATTCAATGCAGCAATGATACGACAAGATAATCACTTTAAGGCGGTCCATTAAATTTTCTACCTGAAGAAATATAGTTGTGTGTAAATTGTTTAACTGATTCGTTGCATCAACTATTCAAAAATTTAGAGTTCCGTCATGTTTATCTTGGTTCCAAAACCTGTTGCTGTGCTACTGGCCTTGAACCGAATTGTAAATATACGTTTCGTGTACGAGCTCAAAATATAGCCGGTGTAAGTATTCGACACACCGCCATATAATAAACTATTTATTTGCCCCGCTGCGCTCGGTTTGTACAAGTGAATTGGCGCGAACTATTTAGACTATGTGCACACGGTAACGTTTTCGAGCGTTTTCATTTTCGTTTTCATGCCAAAACGGTTTCAAACATCGTCAAAAAACAATAGAAGTTGAAGCTAATTTAACATATTGAGAATATTTTCCTTTGGATAGTGTGGACAGGGCGTCAAAGCGATAGACAAGATAAAAACGATTTTGAAAACGCGCGAAAACGACGCTCGTGTGCACATAGTCTTAAACCTTCATCCGATACTGTACTTTTTCCGCACAGTCCTCGCGATCGCTTTAAGAACCTTTGTTCACATGTATTATCGATTTTTGTGCTATATTAGTGAAGGCTCTGATCCTCATTTTTTGTAAATTTGTTATGCATTATTCCTTAGGAAAGCAAGTTTTCTGATATTTCCTGTTTGAACACCGGGCCGGGACCACCAGATGCGGTAGAGTTACCCGAGATTGCGTGTCGATCCTCAAGCGCAATTAATATATCATGGAAGGTAAATGAATAGAATTTCGGTAGACTATAATCATAGGTATCGATATTTCAGTACAATGATAATCATAATAGGAACTTCTGAAGTAGAAAAAATGTTTTTGTCTATTGAGGTCCCGAGAACAAACGGAACTCCAGTTACAAGTTACCTGCTACAATATGCAGGGGATCCAAATGGACCATTTGAAAAGGTACGTTGAAATGTTGCCATGTATTCTGTTGCATTTAAAACTCTGCTGTGGCAAAGGACATAGAAATGGCACAAGCACTGCATGTGGGTGCAAAATAACCTAAAATTGTACAACGTTCTCAACGTATTGCTAATTAAGCAACGTATTGCTAACGTAAGGCAAACTCTCAACGTATCGCTCATTGTGGTGTGCTTTTCTCTGTATAGTTATATGAAGGAAGTACGAATAAATACGAAATGAAAAGAAATATTTTGCCTTCAACGACGTACTTCTTCAGAGTTCAGGTGATTTGATTCGTAGAGCGGTTCATGTATCAATACATCCTTTTAAGAATTTTTGCCTTGAGTGGTTGCACTTGGCATCTGAGAGTCTTAAATCATATTATCCTTCTAGGCGTGTAGTGTTGCAGGATGCAGTGACTGGAGTGATGTCTCCTCGTGTCATACGTCTGCTGCTCCTCCTGCACAAGTTCATGATTTAATACTGGTAAGATTAAATGTAAAAATTTGACTGACTTCATATAGCTTACAAACAAGACATTTTCTTAACCCACTACTCTTGGGAACAACCCTGAAATTTTGTGCCTGACTCCTACATACTATAGGCAATTCGTTAAGATTTCCTTGTACCTCCACCAGCTTGGTCGTTCAGCAACTTCATTAAGGATTGGATGGAAAAGACCTCATCACAATGGGGCTGCTGTTGTTTCTTATAACATCGATATCGCTGGCCATAAATTGCTCTCATATGTACCGGAGGTGTTTGAAAATGATAATAAAGATAGCGCTAGTGATGGTGAGACATTGGCTTACACTATTACAGATCTACAACCGAACACGCAATACAGGTAATAATGTATAGGTTAATGTAGTTTGTGTCAACGGTCAGGTGTTGTATTGTGCTGTGCATATTATACTGACACTAAATACTGAAGCAATTATTCCCCAATTAAGCCGCGATTACCGATGTTTAGGTTCCGTGTTCAAGGAGTTAACAAGTCAGGTTGTGGAATTTTCAGGTAAACAAGTTTTTGACATATAGAAATAATATGTAATGTTGTGGTTTGGAATTTAACTAGAAAGCTTACAAATACTCTAGGGGTATCAATGAATGCCCTCCAATTTTCGGAAGGCTCCTGAATCATGATTATAGCCGGCAGCCGGTATAGGTGTCTTGCACTAGTGCTTGGTACGGTACTGTACGGTAAGGTACCTGTTCGTGGCTGTGCACGACATTCGAAAATTTTAATAAAGAATAATTCGGGTCATCACAAGAAATTCAAGACATTAATTACCGACACGCCAGGATTTAGCAATCAAAGATGTCGGTCTTGTTATAATAGAATTTATAATATGAAAGGCACTTGAAATAATTCCAAATTAAAGCAACTTCTATCTTACATAATGCAGTTTAAGACGTATTGCAATGACAATTTTTTCATATATTTGTTTTACCTTGAACAGGTTCCCCAATAATGTCACTTCAGCGACGCGTTAGCTACCTGCTAACCGTAAATTATATTGTTACCAAATTTCTTTGCGTACCGTTAGTTTGGTATTCATTTTCACATTCTCCCTACTCTTGGGAAAATTTGCCGAGTTCATTTCACACGTAGTACATCTTCTACTACATTCACAAGGAACTTCAATGAGATTTTACGATCGTATCTCGTTTGCATTTCATTTTCAAAAAAACGATAATCGATATTTGGAAGATGTAACGGTAGCCATTTTGAATTTTCATATTTTTTTCGGTTGGCCGCTGTATGAGTGTCGGCTCAAATGGCCTGCTTTTTGGCGATGCTGGACGCACGGTAACGAAAATAGTCTGGACCATATATGATATATCTATATTCTTTTTCCATTTACTGGTTTTAGTTCTGTCGTCACTGCGACAACAGGAAAAATCCCCCCTTCTGCACCTGTCTTGAATACGGTGAACTGTTCTTACCAAAGTATCAAACTTCGTTGGTCTTTTCACCGCCCGCAGAGCGATGTTAGTGAGTTGACATATGAACTGCAGATGGGATCAAACGAAACTAGGTAAAACTATACTTTAATCTTTCTGAAAAGTAGCTATAACAGTATCCAGCCATACATGAACTATTCACTCTTTTTTTCTAACTGCAATGACAATGATTATTAGTTTCGAGACGGTGTTCAAAGGTTCAGCTGCAGTATCGCACAAAGTTGGTAAACTCCAAGAACAGACAATGTACAGTTTTCGTATTCGAGCTGCAAATGAAGCTGGTTATGGTCCGTACTCTGAGATTTTTTCATGTCAGACCACTGTCCAACCTCCACCGGTAATTAAAGGTAGGTTCTTATTGGACATTAGGCGCATAAAACTTGATATACTTTCGTTGAGCTGTAAGTTTCGCTACTTGCATGTAGTCGTGATTTCGTTGCAGTATGGAAAAATGATAAATGATTTGGTATAGATTTTTTATATTCCATTACATTTAGGATTATGTTATTCCAATTTGAGCAAAAACTCTGTGACCCTTTCTTGGAAAGACGTTCCTCATATGAAAGCAACAGATAGTATAACCTATACTTTACTCGGAAAGAGAAAAGAGAACAGTGAATTGGAACAGGTAGGCCGCGCCTATTTTGTAATTAAATTCAACTAAAAAAAAAAAACAACCCAAAATTAGGTTTCAGTATCTTGAAGCTAATTGGAAAAAGCGCCCAACACGTACTCGACTTTCGTGAAAATTTGTGGTAATATTCATCCACCGTTTTTCAGCTTTATGAAGGAAAGAAGACAAGCTTCACGTTTGATGATGTGATTTCCGAAAAAACGTATCGTTTTCAAGTTTGTGCAGTACGTACTTTGGCGAATGGCACGAAAATTCAAAGTCCGTGCTGTCCTATCCTATCGTTGACTATTCCTTCAGAACAAAAACAAGAGATATCAAGTCCATCTAAAAGCAATTCTTCCAAAGAAATCGATTCACAACCAAGAGAACTTTCTGAGAGGCAATTAGCTGGTATATTTTTCGTGGTGTTTGCTTTTATTGTTCTTCTTATTTCATTGCTTGTGTTCTTCCTTCTTAGTTGAAGATTATAATTAAAAAAAGGCATCTTTTATTATAAATATATATTAAATTATATCTATAATTCCAACACGGAAACAATATATAAATATAACTGTTGTGAGATTAGTTTTGTGATGATAATTACTATAAACTCTGATTTGATTCAATGTTTGGAAACGTGAAGCTTCTCCCTGAAAGCACTTTAATTTTCCATGGAAATCTAACTTATCCATAGAATATTGCTTTTGTTTGTTACTTCGAAGCGTTTTCTCCATAAAAGCATGTACCCTCTCCTTAGAACGACGCGTTTTCTTCATATAAGACGCAGTATTCCCCTTGAAGAGCGCGACATTTATTTGATACGCCCCAATGGGGGACCTCTTCTCCTAATAGGCATGAAGCCTGTGCCGTTTCCGTGAACGAAGCGTTGACGCCAGTGACAATTCAATAACTACCTCAGGCCAAAATAGTCTTCGTGGCCTAACGAATAAGGCTGTCTCTATTCTAAATCACGGGACTCGAACCCGCAATCTTCGGCTTAGGACCAGTTTTCTCTATTTAAATAATCTTTTTACCGTTTCTTCAACTGATACCTAACCGATAAGACGTCGCCATCTTAAGCCGAAGATTGCGAGCTCGAATCCCGTCGGAGGTGCATGTTCTGCATATTTTTACCGTTCCTTCAAACGATGAATGAAAAGCCATTACTTCTATATCTCGCACCGCGTTTGAAGATTCTATAGATTCAACCACCCGGAAACAGCCTTCGTGGCCTAACGGATAAGTTGTCGGCTTTCTAATCCGAAAATTACGGGCTCGAATCCCGTCGGAAGTACATGTTCTGCATCCTTTCACCGCTACTTCTTCAGTCGACGGATGAAAAGAAATTATTTTACATTTAAAGGCTTTTCTGCTTCTCGCATCGCAAGAGAAGATTCTAAAGCTACCACAAACAAGAGGCAGCCTTACAACAGGTACAAGTTCTGCATCTTTTTACTGGTTTCTTCAAATGATGAATGAAAACTAATTACTTTAAATTTAAAACCTTTTCTATATCTCGCATCGCCAGTGAAGATTTTTTAGCTACCATAACCCAAACACAGCCCATCGTGACCTAACGGATAAGGCGTCGGCTTTCTAAGCCGAAGAATGCGGGTTCGAATCCCGTCGGAGGTACAAGTTCTGCATCTTTTTATAGTTGGTCCAAAGGATGAATGAAAAGCAATTACTTTAAATTTATAGCCTTTTCTATATCTCGCATCGTCAGTGAAGATTTTTAGCGGATTTAGATTGCGGGTTCGAATCCCGTCGAAGGTACATCTTTTTACCGTTCGTCCAAAGGATGAATGAAAAGCAATTACTTTAAATATATAGCCTTTTCTTATCAGTATACCATGCATCGTCAGAGAAGATTTTTTATCTACCATAACCCAGAGACAGCCTTCGTGGCCAAACGGATAAGGCGTCGGCTTTCTAAGCCGAAGATTGCGGGTTCGAATCCCGTCGGAGGTACATGTTGTGCATCTTTTTACCGTTTATCCAAAGGATGAATGAAAAGCAATTTACTTTAAATTTATAGCCTTTTCTATATCTCGCATCGTCAGTGAATATTTTTTAGCTACCACAACCCAGACACAGCCTTCGTGGCCTAACGGATAAGGCGTCGGCTTTCTAAGCCGAAGTTTGCGGGTTCGAATCCCGTCGGAGGTAAATGTTCTGAATCTTATTACCGTTCGTCCAAAGGATGAATGAAAAGAAATTACTTTAAAGATATAGCCTTTTCTATATCTCGCATCGTACTTGAAGATTTTTTAGCTACCACAGCCCAGACAAAGCTTTCGTGGCTTTCTAAGCCGAAGATTGCGGGTTCGAATCCCGTCGGAGGTACATCTTTGGCATCTTTTTACCGTTCGTCCAAAGGATGAATGAAAAGCAATTACTTTAAATTTATAGCCTTTTTTATATCTCGCATGGTAAGTGAAGATTTTTTAGCTACCACACAACAGACACAGCCTTCGTGGCCTAACGGATAAGGCGTCGGCTTTCTAAGCCGTAGATTCCAGGTTCGAATCCCGTCGGAGGTACATGTTGTGCATCTTTTTACCGTTTATCCAAAGGATGAATGAAAAGCAATTTACTTTAAATTTATAGCCTTTTCTATATCTCGCATCCTCAGTGAAGATTTTTTAGCTACCACAGCCCAGACACAGCCGTCGAAGCCTAACGGATAAGGCGTCAGCTTTCTAAGCCGAAGATTGCAGGTTCGAATCCCGTAGGAGGTACATATTCTCCTTTATTTTACCGCTCCCTCAACTGATGCATGAAAATAAATTACTTTACATTCATAGCCGTTTCTATCCTTTGCATTGCCCGTGAAGATTCTAAAGCTACCACACCCCAGACACAGCCTTCGTGGCCTAACGGATAAGGCGTCGGCTTTCTAAGGCGAAGATTGCGGGTTCGAATCCCGTCGGAGGTACATGTTGTGCATCTTTTTACCGTTCGTCGAAAGGATGAATGAAAAGCAATTACTTTAAATATATAGTCTTTTCTATATCAGTATGCCATGCATCGTCAGTGAAGATTTTTTATCTACCACACCCCAGACACAGCCTTCGTGGCCTAACGGATAAGGCGTCGGCTTTCTAAGCCGAAGATTGCGGGTTCGAATCCCGTCGGAGGTACATATTCTCCTTTATTTTACCGCTCCCTCAACTGATGCATGAAAATAAATTACTTTACATTCATAGCCGTTTCTATCCTTTGCATTGCCCGTGAAAATTCTAGAGCTACCACACCCGTTACGCAGCCTTCGTGGCCTAAGGGATAAGGCGTCGGCTTTCTAAGCCGAAGATTGCGGGTTCGAATCCCCTCGGAGGTACATCTTTGGCATCTTTTTACCGTTCGTCCATAGGATGAATGAAAAGCAATTACTTTAAATTTATAGCATTTTCTATATCTCGCATGGTTAGTGAAGATTTTTTAGCGACCACACCCCAGACACAGCCTTCGTGGCCTAACGGATAAGGCGTCGGCCTCCTAAGCCGAAGATTTCGGGTTCGAATCCCGTCGGAGGTACATGTTGTGCATCTTTTTACCGTTCGTCGAAAGGATGAATGAAAAGCAATTACTTTAAATTTATAGCATTTTCTATATCTCGCATGGTTAGTGAAGATTTTTTAGCTACCACACCCCAGACACAGCCTTCGTGGCCTAACGGATAAGGCGTCGGCCTCCTAAGCCGAAGATTGCGGGTTCGAATCCCGTCGGAGGTACATGTTGTGCATCTTTTTACCGTTCCTCGAAAGGATGAATGAAAAGCAATTACTTTAAATTTATAGCATTTTCTATATCTGGCATGGTTAGTGAAGATTTTTTATCTACCAAACAACAGACACAGCCTTCGTGGCCTAACGGTTAAGGCGTCGGCTTTCTAAGCCGAAGATTGCGGGTTCGAATCCCGTCGGAGGTACATGTTCGGCATCTTTTTACCGTTACTTTAAATGATGAATGAAAAGCAATTATTAAGAGGGAGCCATTAATAACCAAGAGGCAGCCTTCGTGGCCTAACGGATAAGGCGTCGGCCTCCTAAGCCGAAGATTGCGGGTTCGAATCCCGTCGGAGGTACATGTTGTGCATCTTTTTACCGTTCCTCGAAAGGATGAATGAAAAGCAATTACTTTAAATATATAGGCTTTTCTATATCAGTATACCATGCATCGTCAGTGAAGATTTTTTATCTACCACACCCCAGACACAGCCTTCGTGGCCTAACGGATAAGGCGTCGGCTTCCTAAGCCGAAGATTGCGGGTTCGAATCCCGTCGGAGGTACATGTTGTTTATCTTTTTACCGTTCGTCGAAAGGATGAATGAAAAGCAATTACTTTAAATTTATAGCATTTTCTATATCTCGCATGGTTAGTTAAGATTTTTTAGCTACCACACCCCAGACACAGCCTTCGTGGCCTAACGGATAAGGCGTCGGCCTCCTAAGCCGAAGATTTCGGGTTCGAATCTCGTCGGAGGTACATGTTGTGCATCTTTTTACCGTTCGTCGAAAGGATGAATGAAAAGCAATTACTTTAAATTTATAGCATTTTCTATATCTCGCATGGTTACTGAAGATTTTTTAGCTACCACACCCCAGACACAGCCTTCGTGGCCTAACGGATAAGGCGTCGGCCTCCTAAGCCGAAGATTTCGGGTTCGAATCCCGTCGGAGGTACATGTTGTGCATCTTTTTACCGTTCGTCGAAAGGATGAATGAAAAGCAATTACTTTAAATATATAGCCTTTTTTATATCAGTATACCATGCATCGTCAGTGAAGATTTTTTATCTACCACACCCCAGACACAGCCTTCGTGGCCTAACGGATAAGGCGTCGGCTTTCTAAGCCGAAGATTGCGGGTTCGAATCCCGTCGGAGGTACATATTCTCCTTTATTTTACCGCTCCCTCAACTGATGCATGAAAATAAATTACTTTACATTCATAGCCGTTTCTTTCCTTTGCATTGCCCGTGAAGATTCTAAAGCTACCACACCCGTTACGCAGCCTTCGTGGCCTAACGGATAAGGCGTCGGCTTTCTAAGCCGAAGATTGCGGGTTCGAATCCCGTCGGAGGTACAAGTTCTGCATCTTTTTATAGTTCGTGCACAGGATGAATGAAAAGCAATTACTTTAAATTTATAGCCTTTTTTATATCTCGCATGGTTAATGAAGATTTTTTAGCTACTTCACCACAGACACAGCCTTCGTGGCCTAACGGATAAGGCGTCGGCTTTCTAAGCCGAAGATTGCGGGTTCGAATCCCGTCGGAGGTACATCTTTGGCATCTTTTTACCGTTCGTCCAAAGGATGAATGAAAAGCAATTACTTTAAATTTATAGCCTTTTTTATATCTCGCATGGTAAGTGAAGATTTTTTAGCTACCACACAACAGACACAGCCTTCGTGGCCTAACGGATAAGGCGTCGGCTTTCTAAGCCGAAGATTGCAGGTTCGAATCCCGTCGGAGGTACATGTTGTGCATCTTTTTACCGTTTATCCAAAGGATGAATGAAAAGCAATTTACTTTAAATTTA